ATTAGGGTTAGGGTTTTGAATTGATGAATGTGAAATCATTTTTCAATTAGGGTTAGGGTTTTAAATTGTGAAATCAGAAATGAGGGTTATGGTTTCAGAAATTAGGGTTTAAGAAATTTATGATAAGTTAAATTTTTTTAATAATGTTATATGATTTTTTTTAGGAACAAATAATTTTTAGGAACAAATAATTATCTATAATAATAATAATTTTCTTGTATATTATTATCGTAACTAACTTTATAATTTCTTGGAAAAAAACATGGCAAAACACAAGAAAATCTAATTTTGTCTATATAAAAATTATCTATAATTAAAATTTCAAAATTTTCTATCCCTTTCCTTCAAAATTTCCAAATTATTATTTTTTTTTTCTTTCACTTTCACTTTCCACAAATTTTTCTTTTTAATCAAAACATATTTAAGGAATAATCATGCCATTCTCTTTTATTTTCATTCCAATAAATTAAGCTCAGCCTAACAATATTTACAATATATTAAAAAATAAATAAAAATAGAATCATATAATATATATCAGTGTCATAAAAATTGAATTACAAGGAACTATGTTTAAAGTTGTCATGGTTAGTCTAGTACTAATTATCCGAGTCCATAGATCCAACTGATCATTATATCATTTTTTCTTTCTCTATTATGGAAAGTATAAGGGGATGTTTGGCATAAAAGAAAAGCAAGTTTAGCCAAAAGAAAATGAGGAGAAAATTTAAGGGAAAGGGGGAGAGAATTTTCAGTTGTGAGAGGGTGGCCGTGTCCTTCGCCACGAATAGTCTGAGTGAAGCCCAAGATAGTCGTCGACGACGTTCTTCTGATTGTGAATTACAAATATATTTTATAGGGTTTTCAATTGTGAAATCAGAAATTAGGGTTATGGTTTCAGGAATTTGGGTTTTGAATTGTGAATCCTGTATATATTTATTGCATTGTGAACTGTGAATCCTATCTATTTTTTTACAAATTAGGTTTTTGAATTGAAAATTTAATTTTTGATTGCTTCTTAGTCTTGTCGATATGGTTAAATCTTGTTATTCTTTCGTTTATCTCTTCAGCTTCATCATTAGGCCACTATAACTAGTACAAACAATTTTTTGGGTTGTTTTAGGAAATAAGTTAAAAGCTAATTTGTTGTATTTTTATTTTTTATTTTTGCAAAAATGTGTAAAAAAAATACTGAAAATGCCTTTTTACCTCTTTGCCAAAAAATTACCAAAACATTAGAAGTCAGAAAATTTGATATAAATAAATGACTTTTTACAAAAAATTTGATATAAACATTAGAGTTCAAAAAATTTGATCCAAAAAAAATTTGATATAAACATTAGAGGTGATCCACAAAAAATTAGAAGTCAAAAAATGACTTTTTACCTCTTTGCCAAAAGAGGCCTTGAAGTCGTCCTGGAAAATGCTATTATCAAAACATTTGATATAAATAAAAAAAAATTGTTTAAAAATTATGTTTGAAAAAATTAAAATATTTGATTTATAAAATAACTCATTCTCGGTAATTTTTACCCACTTGAATTATCCAATTGACTTATTCTCTATGCGCCTGCATTATGTTTATTCAATTAAGTAACTTTTTATGATAGTCGGATGTCTGAATCAATTTACGTATATATGGACTAATCTTACAATCCACACCAAACGTCCCTTCCACGTAGATCCGACAAATCTCAATTAATACCTATAAACATGACACATACTAAGAGTTCAACTTGAGACCTGAAAGGAGCCTACCTAATTTTTAACACATAATGAGAGCTCATTAATATTAATGAAACTCAAGTTTGACTCGGTTCAGGTCGATAATTTTTTTGTTATGTTATTTATATTGCTTAAAATTATGAGAGCTCATTAATTTTTTATTTAGGTTATTTCTTACGTTATTTCCCTAAGTCATTTCCTACATTATTTTGTATGAGGTTATTTCCCTAAGGGAATAATCTCATAGGAAATAACCTACCAAAATAACTTTGTCATTAAGGTCCCTAATGGCAGAAGCTTTAGCAAATAAAAGTAACTTCTCTTTAATTGTCCTTAAATCTCACTAATTGGACCACCAGTTTTAAAAAATTACGTGAACAATGTATGAAATAAAAATTAAGAACAAGTCATACAAAATCAGTCGAGTTATTTCAACTCAATGAAAAAAATAATAATTTCATAGA